TTTACTCATGAAACCTAAACCCAGGGTGAAATTGTGTGTATCTCATTTGTATGCATATAATAAACAACTATGCAGTTAGATAGGTGTTATAAATAGGATGTGGTGGAGATGCTTAGGCTGCTAAGGTTTCCTAGATTTTATAGCAAGTACCCAACTGAGATTTGCTGCTCTCTAATTTTGCCTTTTGGGCTAACCAGCTGACGCCTAGCTGAAAAGAGTTATGTTCCTACAAGGCCACAGAAGCCTTAGTATTCAGTCTCCGTCTCCTTTGGATTGTGGAGAACTCTGTGTACCATCAGCAACTTCAATCCCACCCTTTAGGCCAACCCTCATCTATCAAACCCAGGCTGAGAGCGAGCGAGAGGAAGCTCCCAGATAAACATACAGCAGCGCCTCAACTCCTAATCACTCTGGGCTTCCGCTTCCAGGCCCTATAATTAGAAGTCCTTCTTTTCCTTGTATTCCCAGTTGACGCAAATGCTTTTTGTGGCTTGGCACCTCATTTAGGGCGTGGGCTTAGTTTATGGCCAGGCCAGAGTCTGGTTTAGTCTTCTGATACTGCATAAATAGCTCTTAACCCACAGTCTACATCTGTACTGGTTTTTCCTTTTATGCATATATTCTCTGTATTTTTTAACGTTTCTGTCCTGAAAGAAGCTTATTGTTTCCCAAACAGAATGCATGAAAAGCAGGAAGCTCTAAATTAAGGCAGATGTGTCTATCAGGTAAAACAAAGCTTCAGTAATCTTAATTTTTTTGCATCTAGGACATCAGGTCCTTTTAAACTGGATTTTAATCATCTCTGTGGATTTGAAAAACCACACAGTAAAACAGTCATTAATTTAACCTAGCTGCATACCTCACATTACAGATTAAAAAAAAATCAAAATTTTGCCGAGAGATACATACTAAGTAATATCTGCTGTGCACATAAATTTCCACTGGGTTCTGTATATGCAAGACTTTCAATTGATTTCAGATGTTATCTGTTAAACAGGGATTAATGCCAGTTTGAAAAATAAGCAGGAAATCCTTGAGAATTACTCACTTTTCATCTATGATTATTCATACATAAAGTACATCATAAGAGAAAACATTTCGGAATGAACTTATGACAGCTTTAGCCCATATTTCCGTCTAAACAACTTTTTGGGAAAACTGTCACAAGGTCTTTCAGAAAGCGGAGCTGAAGTTTCCTGCACTTGAAAGTGAAAGTGAGGTAACTGCCACGCTTCGCGTTCGTGCGTCTCTGCTGGGATTAGGTATTTCTCTCCTGGTGTCACGGAGTGCTGCAGCGGTCTTTTATGGCAGAGAGATGGAGAGAGGAACAAAAGAGTTGAGCTGTAATAATTGAAAACTGTGGTTCGTCGGTGTGAAGCAACGAGAGATGGAAAATACCACACCAAAACCCAAGTCAAATATTCTAAAACATTAGTGACCTATTCTTTGAATAACAGGAATAAGTAAGATGTTTGAAAATACTGTTTTGTAAGTGTATGTTCTTTCACATCTGTGGTATTGTGCTTGGGACCTCTGTGTTGATACAACTCTGCAAGTAGATATTTGTAGTTCAAATGCAAATGTGAGTATGAAATCTGCTCCTTTAATTTAGTGAAAAAATAATTGCTAATACAAGTGAAGGGCCTGTTTTCTTTTGGCTTTCATGTAATAAAATGCATTTATTCCAAACAGTGACAGACAGCAGGATTTTAGATTAGATGTGCAAAATTGCCAAATCAGATACCACCCATCTTTCTGTCTTTAAGCGAATTCTTTTCCGCCCACAAATATATTATCTTTCACCTCTACTTCTTCAAGCTATCAAAAAAAAAGTCCCCCAAAACACAAAACCCAAAAAACCCCAAGGCAAGTAGAGCACATTAATACAAAACCAAGAAGTGTTTATATCATATGGAAATGATCAGAACTGCAGATAGGCAAGCACATTTCTCTGCTTAATTTGCTCCAATACTGCGTATGTCATCAAAAGAATGAACAGGTAGCACCGTATGCTATATAGATTTGTGTGACCTGCTTCTTCGTGTGTGTGCTCCCAAAGTGAGCACCCTAGCAAGGGGTAGATAGAAATTACTGATACAGAAAAATCTCTTTGTGAGAAGGGTGAAATTATATCATGTCTGCATACTGTGGGGTTTATTGCGCCATCCACAGACACCTGCATTTCTAGCCAATATTGGAAATAAGATACTGGTAAGCTAAACAATGGCTAGATTTGATGGACAATGCAGTATGGTAATTCCTGTGTTTTCACTGGCTCGTAATTATTACGCAGCTTTCTGTCTCCAGCTTCCAGACAGATTGTTGGCTCATTCAGAGTTTTTTTTACGATCCTCACTGCACTGTGCCATGTGATGGGATACACATGAAAAGTGTGCTCAAAGCTCTGGGTGCACTCAGCTCTGCGTATTCATTTATAAAAGGCTTCTAGCACCTCTGGGGAAAAAAAAATCCGGGTTTGTGAAGGCTGACTGTTCGCTGCTGAGAGAAGCCTTATGGATTCATCTCTTCCAGCTTTTCTTTCTCCAAGGGTCCTTTCCATCTGGAGTAAGAGGGAGGTCAAGAGGACCAAAAGCACACTCGACTTCCCTGTAAAGCTATCTAATGTGTGACGAGAGGCAAACATGCGAATACAGAAAACAAATACTGTTGAATTAGGTCTTCTGGAATATCCTTGCTCCACTAATAGTGGCAGCCTAATTCTAGCACACAACCCCCTATATTTGATTCCAATTTTCTCTACTGGAAACGCTATATATTATTGAGGACCGCACACTTCACTAGGAGGGAAGTGTATTTTGTGATGTTTCAAGAACAGAATTAATGCAAATTGTGTGCATAATCCCACACTAAAGACTTGGCTGACTTGCACTTGAGCAACTTTAGCTGTATTTCCTATCAACACAGTCACTACAAATCAAGGAAATTGCCAGTTAAGCCAACATTAACATCCAGACCAACCTCAACTCGCATGCCTTACCGCCCAAACATAATACCCAAATGCACTCGTGGATTTCTTAGCTCCATAACAAACTCTCTTTCATTTCTAACACTCAGACCCGGAGCAGCAGCCTGCAGCAGTGAAAGTATGTCTACTGGAGAGAATCTTGCTGAGGTCGGATTTAAAATTCTGCATTTGTGTGATTTTGAGGAAATGGTTGTGTGCAACATGGGTGGCCTGGCTTTCTGTCCAAGCCCTACCAGCACAGTGGTCAAGCCGAAAAGGAAACTTTTAGGCAAATTTGTCTCTATATGCAATTTACATTTCTCTGCAATTCTGTATCTTACTGCTGGTGTGCCTCATTCTCAAAAAGTATTTGTCTTCACAAGATCTTTCTAAAAGTGAAGGTTGAGAGAAACTGGGGCCTGTGCCTGTAGGCGATGAGGTGCAGGGGCTGTGGCGGTGCTGTGAGGGGAGGCCTGCAGGGCCGTGCTCCTCCTGGGAACCCACGCGTGCTCGGGGAATGCCGTTGGGCCCAGAAGGTTGACGTTTTGGCTGAAATGTTCCTATTTGGGATTAAGGGCAGAGGTATTTCAGCACTGTCAAGGAGGGAAAACACTCAGGGCAGCGATGGAGTGATGTGGTAACGGTGGTTCTGCAGAAAAGTTAATTTAACGTAATCTTTACTGAGAGAGTGTTTCCCTGCTGCTCAGAACATGAGAGCTTTATTATGTTTTTTTCCCAGTCTAATTCTGAAGTTTTAAAAGTGGTGTGTGATGGACTTCAGTGGTAATTAAGCATGAGGGTTTTGGAATTTGTACAGAGTGTGTTTGTTTAGCAGCTGTGAGTGGGTAAATAAACTGAAAACACAAACATTTTTATGACAGAAATAACATGATCATTTGTCCTTTGAATAGGTGTCATGTAAAATGTGAAGACCTACATTTTTTTCCTGAAGGATAAGAGATTTCAATTCTGTTTTAAGTGGAGAATCAACACAACTAGAACTGTACAGAAAATCCCTGGTTTTCTTTACCAATACCTTGAAAATTATTTAGAAGGCACTTAAATGTACCTACTCAACTGCTTAAATCGCTTTGCACTTGAAGTTAATAAAATGTTAGATGTTTGTTTTGGGTGGTAAATTTCATTAATAAGCTAATACGGACATTTTTACAGAGAAAAATAAATCTGAAGTGTATTTATTGTAGTTTTAAATGGTGCCATGGTGCTGTACTTTTCTTATATATGCAAAATGTTTATTTTTTTGGTATAAAAATTTAAGCTTTTATGGTAAGTTGACCTTAAATATCTGTTTGTAAAGTTAAAACTGGGTTATGGACTGACATATAGAAGGAGAAAAAGTAAACAGCATATATAAGTTACTGTGATTCTACTGATCTTCTAATTTAATCATTTCAGTACATCCATCAGTGGCCTGTTTTCAATGAAGTTAGTACCTAATTTAATATTTCACTTGAAAGCTCTCAACTCTGATTTGCTGCCTTTCAAGCAATAAATCAGACAGTTTCTTTCATATACGTTTATAAGAAAGATGCTTCTTCAGTATTGTTTTTGGTATGGGTTATTTTAGCTGTGTTTTGTACTGTTTCTACTTTCTAAAATAGTGTGGAAACATCAATCTTTTTTTCATACTGGCTCTTTTATAGTGAAGAGCATTTGGGAGTTTCCGGTGTTCATCACTTCATTGTTTTATATTGGTCACACAAATTTTAGTTTGAATATTCCCAGATTTTTCAATTGACTTTGATAGATTTGTACTGTTCTACTTCAGCAGTCATAGTGTTGTATGATTTCAGTTGAAGTTTGGATTCATTTTTTATGAAATGAATCCTTTACAATTCAGTAATTTTCCTGCAACTGTTTTCTTTTGTTTACAGAAAACAAATTATAAAACACTCTAGCTTTTTTAGATAGACATTCTTAAGCCTCTTCTTTTGAAGTGATTAATCTCTTGTGCTTTTCTTTTTCTTTTCTTTTCTTTTTTTTTTTTCTTTTCTTTTTTTTTTTTTTTACCCAGGGATGTTGCTGGTCACTACTGACACATTAGGCCATGATTTCCATGTTTTTCAAATACTGACACATCCTTGGTCATCATCACAAAGTGCCGTCCATCATTTGTATACACTTCACAGGGGAGAGACTGAAGCCAAAGTAAGTTAAACTATTTGCTGAAGAATAATCCCCAGACACCTTATACATTTTGTGTATGTTGGCACTTTAATGTTTGTTTCAGCACAGAAAGAGCCTTTCTTATGTTATAGCCGCAAAAAGGATAAGAGCATAGCGTTTAACCTGGACAATAATAAATTCTTGCCCTTTACAATGAGGTGCTGTCAGATTTATTCAGATATGACACTGCCTCCAAAGAGCCCAGATTATTAGCTGTGTTTGTACTTAACCTTTTCTCATGTAACATGTTAAACATTTGTCTAGTGCCTGTGAAGCAATTGTCAGGGTTTGCTTGACTTGGGTGGTAAAAGCCAAAGAAAGGCAATCAGAGAGTTGAAAGCAAGAGTTAATCAAAGGACTGTGATTAACTTTTATCCACACTTTAGCAAAATGGGGGATCTTGTTGGAGACTGTAGTGATAGAGTTTTAACTTGCCAATTTGACAAGCCCTTTCCTAAAGATTAAGTTAGGCTAGATCATAATAGTGTGAAAGGGTCTGAAATTATATTTCAAAAATGCTCAATAAACTGTTTTACTGGTAACATGGGAAAATGTTAGAGGTATCACTCTATCAGTGTTTGCAAGCATCACTGTGGTAGGAGTAGTGCAATGTGTTCTGCCTAGATCCGTCACTGCACTGCTTTTGGGCATCAGGAGAGCCTCACCTTTGTAGCATTGAGTAACTGTTGAAGAACCTGTTTTAAATACATAAATAAAAATGTCACCAGAGGGTAAGAAATGAGTCTTGCACTTGCTGATGCAATTACACACTGAAAGCACAAGCTTGTGACAGGCTGGCAGATGTAAACTTGTGTGACAGAGAGAAGCCTCGGGCACTGTGATTATGACCCTGACACTGGAAGCTTGGATTATTGTGGTACCATGATTACAGTTGCTTCAAACCTTTTTTTTCCTATGGGTTGTGCAGTTTCCCTTAAGTTTTTTGCCTTACCTTTAGGAAGGTGTGGCAGCTTTATTTAATAATGTAGTCGTTGATAATGTTTTAGTTTATGTGAATATAAATTACTGGTGGTTTAAACACCCCAAAGCACTGCTGCTGCTGCACTGACAAAATGAAATTACAATTATAGGTAATGGTTTCTTATAGGAAGGAATAGCTAATCTGAAAAGTGAGAGGAAATTAGGAAAAAATGATTCAATATATGGGGTAATACATATAATAATTATCTCATAAATATTTTTTATAAATAATATAACAGGCACTTATTAGAGATCTGTCTGTACTTATACTCCGTCATCTACTAGAGTGTGTAATATAATGCCCTTAGTGTGTCATTTTTATTTTGCTTTCTTAGACAAAAAATGTAAATATCCTATAACCAAAGTGTATTAGTCCAGTCAGTAGGAACAAAGACGTTCTTCTTTATTTTACAGCTGATAAATTTATTTTTAAGGCGTACACTGGAAAGCAAACATGACATGTTTTAGGACTAAACCTTTATTGATGCAAGTCTTTTGGATACAGCATTAGCATCTGTGTGAAGGTATTGCATTAAAATTTTCAGAATCAACATAGTAAATTTTTTTCTTCATTTGCCACAAAGTTTTCATTTGGGACATGAACAGTATAGCTTTTGGAATAGTATAAGATAGAGAAAGTTCTAACCAGTCTGAGGCATATTGGTGGATTTTACAGATCCCTTGATAATTAAACTATCCAGCAACAGTATTGGTACCTGGGATTCTCAATGTACATCTATCATTTAAAACATTTACATAATACAATGGATGTTTCTGTTTTTGCTTTTGGAATAACATAGTGCTTTTGGTTGTGTAGTAAGAAGGGTGTGAGTAGCACTAGACAAGAAGATTGGAGGCTGTTCAATTTAAAATTCTCAATGCAGATATTCTGAGAGACATTCTGGAAGCCTCCGTACCTTTTTTCTTGGTTGGAACAGTATTCATACATTTGCAACCAGACTTTTTATCCCTGTTTTAAAGCTAATTGTGAATCAAGGCCAATGGTCTTAAAGGTCACCTTCTGTACTGGAGCTATAAAAAGTTCTAATTTATGTTGATGGACACGAGTGATTATCAGTGTCAAAATTAGTTTAGTTAGTTCTCATTATAAATGGTTTAAACATCATCGTATGCCCTTGTTATATTGGTATTTTAATATCTGTACTGAAATCATCTACTTCACCTCATCCCTCATGGTCTCTGGGCAGACCAGTAGCTTTGTATGTCTCACCTGCCTCCTCGGAGAAGGTGCCGGGAAGTCCCTCCTCTCTGTCACTTGTGTACAGAAGCATCTTAAGTGGATTAAGCTGCCTGCTTAATGTTTAGTAAAGAAAAAGAAGCAAGTGTTGAAATTGCCATTATTAAATCTCTGTTTGATTTACTGCAAACAAGTAGTCTCTCTGAGTCACCCCTATGTCTTTCTATGAAGTCGGATATATTAGTTATACCTTTACTTTAACTTAATAAAACTAAAGAATATATGCTCCACTGTGCATTATTTTTTCTAAATTCATGACAAAGTCTGATTTGGTTTGGGGTTGAGAAAATTCAGCCTGAAAGACAGTATCTGTCTTTCTTTATTTCTGAAATGCACAGAGTGGTTGAGAAGAGATCTGTAGAGGTTGTCTCCTTTCATGGATGTCAGGATCTTGTCCTCAGCCAAAGCACAATTTGCACTGAGCATTTGAAGTGAGATGGCCACTCCAACCGGGCAGCATCACTGAAATCATCCATTAATGAATGGGGTAACACAGAGACTTCGCACTTGGATTTTTATAAAAGGAAAAATGAAAATTTGTTTCAATACAGAACGTTGTGTTTGCCCAGACAGTCTATCCCGATAGCTCCAGCCATGCTAGTTGGAACGTTTCTGTTGGATGGGGGAGAGAGGGATGAGGCTGCTGTAAGTTTCCCAAGATGAGCTTTCAGTGCTCTAAAATGTAGCTCACAGCAGATTGTGCTGCTGTTCAGTGTACGATCATAAGCACTTTCTGAATTACCTGAGTTCATCATCCCCTGGAGTGGTGTCCAAAGGCAGCTGCTAGCTGTCTTCTAAATTGTTAGTGATCTTTTTAGGGCTTTACTGCCCTGCAGTCCTCTTGGCATTGGCTTCAGGATGCTGAGGGAGATTGAGGTGCTGTGCTGCGGTAAGTAGGTTTCTTGAGCTTGTTTTCCTCCTGGTTTGAAGTGAAAGGTAAGTAGTAGCACTCTCCCAGACTGTTCACAGCTGGTCTTCATAACACGGTTTTCCTTTTCTCTTTCTGCATGCTTTGAACAATGAAGCAGAGTGTTATTGAGCATTAAAGTGTTGTTATTGCAAATCTATGTTGTATTAGCTGACTTTGAGCAGCAAATACAGGAAGAAGTCTTATCAGCTGAATAAAACATTGAGACTGTGAAGATCACTCAGTTCCTAACTAAGCCACTAGCTTTTTTGTGTGACCAAGATCAAGATGGGTTAAGATGGAAAGTGGACCTCTGTCTCCTAAGGGAATTGTGAGGACAACGGCCTTGAAAGAATGTGAAGTACTCAGATACTTTGTTGGTTTGAGTGATGTGAGTCCTAAGGTCACAACTTGCAAGTTACTTTTCTGCAAACACAGTCAGAAGCCAGTCTTTTGGTTACACTGAATTAAGATCTTTTAGTCTTTAAGACCTACTTAGGCTTTAGATTTTTTTTTTCTTAAGAGAACAAGAACCAGCATGTTGGATGCACTATGTTAAATCACGAAGGCCCACTGTGAGTGCTGGTCGTATTTAACCGTGGCAGAGAGAGTACTAAAGCTGTTAGAGATCCATGCTTGCACAATTCTGCTGCAAAAGGAAAAATGTGTATGTGGCACCCATTTTGGTTAAGGATAGATTTCTGACTGTAACAGTTCTTGCATTGTGAGTCAACACTCACTGCACTCATTTTTATCCAAGAGCATTTTATAAAGTTTTTAATGAAGATATAGCATGTTCTGAGTTGAGGAAGTTCATTTACTTGCAGATGAAAGTTAGTCTGTCACCTGATGATCCTTTCCTTTTGATCTTAAATTGTAAACAGAAAAAAAAATCCTTGAAAACAGCATTATCTCAACCTAGAACAAATAAACGGAACGATAGCATCAGTGGGCTAGTGGCCAGGGTCCTCTGTAATCTTTTACGCTGTCAGACTTTTGTTATTCTGCCTCTCAAACTGCTGTTATAACTGACTTCAGTCAGTATAGGTAAACAGAGGGAATGATAAAAACATTCCAGCATGGGCTGCCCCAGAACACAGGCTGTTTTACACTTCTCTGTGGGACACGTGCATGTTTTCCTGTTGTGATTTCATGGAGATTATTGAAACTTGCATCACGTACTGAGTCCAGGTAGTGAAACACCGGATTGGTTAGCAAATGTCTGATATAAACCTTCATGGTTAATGGAAATTTCTTTCTTTATCGTGGCATAGTTATGGAGTCACAATTATTGAACTATTCCCTGGAAGAGAGACTTACTCATTTCGAGGAAAGAATCTGGGGACAGTCTTGAAATAATAAAGATTGATTAAAAGAAGTTGATCGGTCTTTGATGAAAGCAGACAATAAAAAAACTGCTGCAGTTAGAAGTAGCTTAGCTAACTAGGGGAGACTGAGCTCAAAGCATGGTGGTGCCTGCAATGTTGGTTATTAATACAGAGCAGCTATTCGGGCTGGAGGACCCTACCTGAATGCCTCAGTGTGCCCAGGTTCTGCTGTTGTTTTTATACAGAATCGAAATCAGTTTTTACTACTTAGGGAGGGCAGAGTTAGGTCCATGTGGGTCTGATAAATCATATTGTGTAGTTCATGATTTTATTATTTTTTCATTTATGTTTGTTGTCATGTCATTTCCTTAATTTTCTCAACCAAACAAAAGTTAAATACAGAGCAGTTCTCTAATTTATTTTGACCCTTACCTCCTCAGCACTGCTGCTTTCATGTTGTTCAGCACTTTTTTTTTTTTAATTGTTCTTTCTGCCATCTTCCTGCACAGCATAATTAAATACTTAGGTCATGTCCTTCAAATAATGGCATGTTTTCTCTGTGACAGTGCATAGGGTGCATGAAACAGGATTACAATCCTATTGCAGTAGTGCTGCTCATGCTTTATTGTTGTTTCACTTCAATGTTGAGGTACGATTTAACGTAGTAAAATGCCCAGGAATATACACAGTTACTGGTGGAATTTACCACACCTGAAAAAGGGGCAGCAGGAGAAGAAGAGCACTAGGAAGATCAAAATGCATTTTAATCATTGTTCCTTGTAATGACCGTGAATATTCACGGTGCAGTGCTGTGAGCTGTGCTGTCTGTTGCCTTCTGCACACATCAGGAGGGGATGTGCCTTGGGAGGACACGAGCAGCAGCACGTCAGTGTGGGGCTTTGCAGCCCCTTCTTTCCCATCACTCGCCTCTGCCCTATAGGTACCGTGATAGCCCAGTACAGCTCCTTCTCCGCTGTAAGAAAACAAGTGATAGCATAAATGTAAGTGTTGTGCAGCAGGTTAGTACAATATTAACTTTCAGAAGCGATGAAATCGAGAGGCTGGGTATGGGCTGCCACTCATTCCCAGGAGTCGTGGTAAACAAGGTCACTGCCTGTCCCGTGTGATTCCTTGTGTAATCAGCCATACCTCTGACTACCCCATTTCAATCAACTGCTTTTAAAATAAGTTTTCTGTGTGCTGCCCTTGCTTCTGTTTTGTTTTGTCCCAGTTAATGGCTTGAACTATTTTTTTTAAATGTTATGATTATATTCTAATTAACTTCATATTCAAATTTGGAGAAGCTGTGAGAGTAAAGAATGATAGCAAAAACTTAAATAGATTTCCTGTGTATAAAAAGTAAATGTATATCGTCTTTGAAGATGTAGGCTCAGCTAATTTCCTCCAGATTCTCATAATATCAGAAATAATGTTTTGGTCTGTACAGTCCTAGAAGCTGCTCTTCAGTTCGAGTGGTAGATCCACGACATACCCCTGTAGGAGTCCATACGCTACATTACCCCACTGTCTTAGCTAAGACTCTGAACACAAAAGCTAGGTTTTCATGGGGTTTTCTGAAGGATTTTCCAAGCACAGGAAGGTAGGCTCATGGAGTTACAAAGAAGCATTTCCAAGAGGACGACCCAAGCAGTGTGACTGGGGATTCTTATTTCACATCTGCACTATTTGGAATTCGTGGAGCAGGCTGAATACTCCATAAAAGAAGGACAACATTTGAGTACAGCAGGAGTTGCAGAATACCTGCTTTGGCCAGAGGAGCACTGAGGACACGCTCTGTTACAACACTCTGGAGTTGTCTGAAGCGCCTTCTTTTGGGCCAGCAAAGGCTTTGGTATTCCTAATGCAGACCTTGAGGTACCAGGGATTTCACCAAAACTTTTGGGTAGCCAAGTAATGTAGATCGAACCTTAAGTAACCAAACAGCTCACAACCTAGGAAGAAGTAGTCATAAAGCTAAGAGAAAGTGCTGCTATTCCCCTCAAAACTATTTGATATTGCAATTTAAAGTATCTTAAATGTTCCTGAGTTAAGCAAAATCACAGATCTGTATTTCCTTTTATTGGCACAGACAGATTAAATTTTGAAATACAGACATGAGTATTAAATCTGAGGTTGACCTTGAGCTAAAGAGTAAACTTTACATCATGAGAGATCTAGTGTACTTTGTACTTTATTAACATATATCTGTAAACACTGTGGGGTCTTGATTGATCTTTGGTATCTAAACATTACATCATAATTAACAACAAATCCAGAAATATATTATAAATACATGAAATAATAGTACATTAACCTAAAGGACAGCAATAAATTGCAACGCTTAGCATAAACTTGAAAACCACTAATGGGCCACTGTGCAGTTTGTTTATACTAGAAGCAGTCAAGAACTCTGCGCAATGTACAGTAACAGTGTGGTGGATAATAGCAAGTCTGATGTGATAATTTATATTTTCTTTTCATGGACACACACAGCTGATTTTTCAAGTGATTTCTGAGAATGCTGTAGCAAGCATTCTCCTCGCAGCCTGCTCCCCTGCTTTCTTCCAGTTCTGCTGAAGAGGAGTTAAGGACTCTTTTGTGCTGCACAGATGGGTTTGTGCTGTTTTTTTAAAAACAACATAATCCTAAGGATGCAAACTAAAAAATGAGTATTAAAACGGAAACAGACATTTCTATTATGTAGTACAGTGAGATACAATTTTTCCTCCAGCATCTCATGGAACCGTCCTCTAAAATGCTCTCCCAAAAACATGAGAGGGCATGGGGTAGACGTGAGTGACAGCAGTGATTTAAAGAGTTGGGCGGTGACATTGAAGTACCGGGGAGCCTCTGTGTGTGTCTGCCCTGGGAAAGCGGCTCCGAGATGTCAGTTTGCAGGGAGATGGGCAAAGTCCCCTCAGACCGCCGGGGTTTCAGGGCAGGAGACTCTTTGGCAAGGAGCAGGGAACTATACAAAGTTTACTAAGCGAGATAGAAACAGCTTGTGTTGGAGGCACGGAGCAAGTCAGCAGAGGGAGAAAGGAAGAGAAAAGCTTCTTCCTTGAGGCTGGGACAGACAGTTGGGGAGATCAGGAGGGAAACGGAAAACTCAATCTAAATTGAATACCAAATATTTGGAAGACAGGGATGTGTGCAAAGGCGGCAGCGTGTAAAGACAGATGTGGCCATTCTTCATATTACCAGAGATTAAAAATAGGGCCTTAGTTAGGATTGGAAATACATTCCAGTAGGCTTAATGATTTTATCGTATTAATGATTTTTCTATTATAATGGAGAATGGCAATTTGTATACGGTTGGGAGGTTTGATTTGGACTGGTACAAATCGCCCCTTTAAACTGCAGGTATTTAAACCCTCCTGGTGCCATAGTTTTTCTCAGACTCCACAGCTTTGGGGTTTCTTTTTTTGGCTCTCACTAATCCCCGTGGGGTCTCTAATCCTTTTTGAGCAATCTATTAAGGTGAAACACTTTGTAGGCAAACGAGGAGCTCTAAGTGCTGTGACTTTATGTCAGTAAGAGCAGAATCACTGGAAGTGCCAAACCTGTCAGATTTCAGGGAGATTGTTTAGCCATATCGCTAGCAGATCGTTTGGATATGTCACCGTAATTGAAAAGAGCAGGTGTGTAGCGCTGTTTTTTAGTTTATCTATGTAACGTTGATGAAGCATTTTGTGCAGTGACAGTCTGTCAGCCAAATATCTTGTCACAAGTCACAAGACTTAAATCCTTTTTTTATCTCAAAGGCTTCAGGGCTCAGTTGGAAACTTGCACTTTGATGAATACTTGCTGCTTTTGTCTGGAATAGCTGGAATGCATTTCTGGAATATTTGTCAAGATTTTATCTGTGTTTACTCCAATTTGAGTACCTAGTGTATTGTAAAACTGGCTTCAGTGAAATCTTAAAGAATTTTATTTAGTTTATGCTGTTTAATAATATAATGAAAACTAATCCTTCATCTATGTTTGTTTGCCGTGTTAAATCCCACTTCTCTATGTAGTTCTTTTTAGTCAGCTTTTACCTTTAAAAACATTTTTGGAAGAATTGGTTTAGGATTTTTTTCTATGATAAATCATTTTACCCTAGACTACTTGTTTTCTTGAGTTGTCTGCCAGTATGGGGCTGGAAACAAAGTTTAATCTCGCTTGTAAAGCATTCCTCAAGGAGCAAGAATTTGCTTTCCATCAAAGTGTTATGTAAAGCACACTTAAAAGAGAATGAAGTCCTTCTGGGGTTCATACCTGAGATCCATGCAAGGAGTAACTACAATAGAAAATACTTTTCCTGTATTTCTATATTTGCTTCAAGACCAACCATTTTAAGCTCCAAGTAATGGTTGTGTTTCTCAAGTGATAGATAAGAACTCATATGTAGAAGAAGAAACCTAACTAGGCTCTTTCCTGGGACTTTAATAGCTGAGCTGATCAATGAAGTTTGTTACCTGTAAAATTGAGTGATTTTATAGAGAAAAATAGCCAAAGTCATTAAGTTTATTCCTGACAACATTTTAAACCCAGAAAACCAGAAGTTTTAGTTATGGGACACCTGGATGGATGGTAGTGCCACTGAGGGACAAACTGAGTAGCAGGATCAGAGACCATCAGAGACAGCTTTTGAAAATCCTGGCCATTGATTTGGGGTTGGTTAAGTTACATGATATGTAGGACATGGTTTTTCTGTTAACTTTAAGTACAGTGTTGGGTGCCAGTATTTGTCAAAATCAGGCCCAGGGATGAGATGTCTCTCTTGTTCTCATCCCTCCCTTTTCCCCCTTGTGGGCAGTTTCTAAAAATCAAAATAAGCAAGCAAATAACAAAACATGTAATTGAAATGATTTCCCAACTCTTTTTAGAACTAAATTCTATTTGAAAATTACATCAAGTCATTGTGGCTTTATGTAGTGCTTTGCATCCTGGGATGTTTTGATAAGTTCAGGCCTGTTTAAAAGAAAAAATCTCAGAATATTTTGAAAAGTGCATAAGGGCTGGAACTGGGTACTGCACTGCAGCAAGGTTCAGTCGGTATTTATGAGAAAAAATCAAGTTACTGCCGACACTTAGTCTTTTTATTAACATTTCCAATTAAGATTTGTCTTCTGTTTAAAACATGCTAGTCCATTTCCTTTCAGAGGTGCGTGTGCATGGATGACTACATTTCCATTTCACGTCTCAATTTTCTAGGTACAAGATATCTCCTTCAGCCATGACTGTCGCTGGGTTGTGGTCAGCACACTGCGGGGCACTTCCCATGTCTTCCCCATCAATCCGTACGGTGGCCAGCCCTGCGTCCGAACACACATGTCACCCCGCGTGGTGAACCGCATGAGCCGATTCCAGAAGAGCGCGGGGCTGGAAGAGATCGAGCAAGAGCTGACATCTAAACAAGGAGGACGCTGTAGCCCTGTTCCAGGCCTGTCAAGCAGTCCTTCTGGCTCACCACTCCATGGTAAACCCCTTTTTTCTTTTTCATCTCCCCCCTGCGCTGTCAGGAGAACCTTCCCTCTGCGTTGCTAATACCCTTGTCCTCCAAAACACTTCAGTTCCCCCTGCCTGACATGCAAGGGTTCAGTTCCTAAACACCATTGGAGATGTTGACCTAAAAACCTCGTCTTCCAGCTTCTCAGTAAAGTAGTATTTGGTAACACCCTGCAAAACAGAAGCTTTGAATTTGCTGCATATTGCAGTAATTGATTTAGTTCATTGTTTACCCGTGTAGATTTTGCCACTAAAAACTGAGTTTCATAAAGTGAGGTGCTGCAACTGTTACGCAAAAATACGTGGGGTGTGCAGATGTTACAGGAATGAGCCAAGGCATAAATACTTAAGAAAGATAGCTCTAGTTTTGCAGCCTACTTAAGTAAACTGTGCTACCACAGATGTGTTAATAATTTCTACTCTAAACTGAAAGTTTGGAGGTCTTCAGGATTCTTACTGCTCATCCACGTGGATGATCATGAAGCACATCTGGATATCCACAATAAATACTCGTCAAGGAGAAATGTGAAAACTAGACAATATGAGGTTGAGGACATAGGTTTTTGACCGCCTTTTTGTTGTTGTTTGTTTTTTCCTTTTAGCTTGTTTTTTCCCTTTTTTTTGGGGGGGAAGGGGACAATGTGACAAAGTAATGTACATAGGGAAAAAATCTTAGGAAGCTTAAAAACCTTAAATCCTACTCCTGTGGTGTACATGCTTGTTTTTGCCCTTCTCTTTGACGAAGCCTTAACTGGAAGGCTTGTTTGGATTCAGAATTTGCTGCATCCTTACCTCTCCTTTCTGAGAGTAAGTCACAGCTTCCATCAAAGTAAAAGTTTAAATACCAGTTTGGGATGGCTAGCCACATTTCTCCAGTCTAAAAGTATTAAAAATCACAAGGAACAGTTCCTCTTCCCTAATTATGAGTAGGATTATAGAAGTGCTTGTGAAACCCCAATTGTGTGCTGTCATAGTCAACATCTTTACTGCTAGAGATAACCTTTGTGAGATTTCTGAATGAAAGGAACATTTTTATGGCTTGTTGATTATTAAGGGGACCAGAGTTGTCTCTGAAGAAGCCTCTGTGTTTTCTCCTGTGGATGTTTCTAAACCAGGTTTTCTGCATAGCTGTTCTGGAGCCATGCTCTTCTGCTTGGAGCCACTGGAAGGCACCCAAACTGTTCTCTCTAGTTTCCTTGTAGGAGATATTTGTGTGTCTACCATTGTAGTTTCCTTCTCTCTCATCATTGTAGAGCAGCTCAGCACGTCATGCTTGAAACAGACTTGGGATTGCAATAAATGTTTACTACAGCACATCCAATCCCTTCTAACTATTGACATCACATAGAGGAGGGAAGGAACTATCAAGTTGTGTAGCTTTCATACAACCAATTCTGTTTCCTGTCAGGGGAAATTGCAGTAAATTGCGGCCTTTACAGTACTGTTAGATACATTTGAAGTTTTGAATAGTTTTCACATTTTTTTAGAGAAGAAACATCAGTTTCATTTGCTCTAGAACCCTCAGTGATGGGCAGGTTTTCTAGGTGGAAGAAAGACATGCATGGGCCAGGGTGTTACTGAGGGAAAGGGAGCAGGATGCATGAATGTGTCTCAAGAGCTTTAAGACTTGAAAAATCAGAGTTTTGTTAAGATCCCTCTGCAGACATCACTGCTCTATTTAAAGAATTTGCTGCATTTGAAGGCCACTCATGGAACTGAGAATTAAGGCAGGCAGGTAACTTCGTGCAGCTTGTGCTTATTGCTTTTGTAAAGAGTAGAAGTTGGGTATGTGCTGAGGCTGCTTGGTGCTAACTTGCAAGCCTTCATATGAAAATTTTACATAAGAAAGTGATGGGAATTGTGTGAAAAATGTTGATGTGAAAAAAGTGCATGTACATATACATATCTTTATACCTACACTTACACACACACACACACATGCTGTTATGGAGATGACAGATCTTGTTGATACATGGAGGACAAATAAAACAGAGAGAACTTGGTATCTTTCTTGCATATCAGGTGGGTTTCTTTTAACACCAGCAGCTCCTATCCATCTACCAGGCTTGGCATAAGAGTACGCAATAACTGTAGGATTTTATACACATGTTGTTGTTTAAATGAGATAATCCAGAGCACCATGGTGCTTTACATGAAAATAAGAGTTTTTAGACTCAAAGCGAAACAGTTGTCTTAAAAAAAAAAAAAAAAAACAGAAAGAAAAAAAATGTTTGAATTAAAATAATCCATTTGGTAAAATCATTTCAATAATCTTTTAGTTTACCTAACTGATGGCAGGCAGGATATTGAACCATATTATATGCCTTTTATAAAAACCTATTTATCATCCACTTGGAAAAAAAAACAACCGAGTTTCACTGTGGCTTTCAGTGGAGGGATTTCGTGTATGTGTGTGTGTGGCAGCTGGATTAGCCAGAGACTCTGGTAATTATTTTAATTTGTGAACTAAGATGGGTTTACACAGATTGTAACAGGTCCTTATCATATTATAATGTGAAATAATTATTTTTTGGAGGAGTTAGGGCAGTCTGGTGACAGGAGAGCAGATGAGTCCGCAGAACAGTAAAGAGCAGCTTTGGGTTTAATTCTTAGCTTTACTTTTAACTTGCTATGTGACCCTTGGTAAATTTTAATTCAGCTGATTTTGTCTATCAGCTTTCTATTTTGTAACAGAAGAATAATAAACTCTGTGTTCCCCATGTATGGAATTATTTAAAGTTTGTAGTTTCCTTCAAGAAAGACTGTTACTTAATCATCCCCCACCTGTTTGCAATGGAAATACTAGCACAGACCCCGCGAGCATGTCCCGGAGAGCACCAGTACTCGGGCACAAACTTCTGATTACTGACGGAGTCAGGAGGCTGTGATAAACTTGTTTTATTTCTGGAGGATTTTTTAGTGTGGAGTCTTGAAATCATGGTTTTCCTCTTAGATCCTTCGCAATCTACAAAAGTGTTCAATAAGCCTTAAGCTACAGAAACTGCTGTTAATCCTCCTGCTGTTATTTTGTTTCCATTACAACAGTCTCGCTACAACCTTTGGCCAAAAAAAAGGGGACTTCATGAGCAAAATACTGGCTTGTTATCTTCCGTTTTTGATTAGCAATTATACTCCATTGATGTTAACTTGTGATTAGCTTTTGTTCTTGTAAATATTTTCAGAGTTCAGACTTTGTAATATTTTTCTCACTTGTTTTTTTTAACTCCTAGCTTCAAAATGAAACTATTTGCTATGTATATAGTAGCAAAGCAATCTATTTACATTTTGTTCCCAGTCCCCTACAAACTGTTTACCCACACAATGTAAGCCTTTATTGGGGGTGGAGATGATTTCATTTCCAAGTGAATCATAGTTTGGCTTTGTTCTTTTTTAGCAGAATGAAGCAAACTCTTAAATAGGGGATGACAAAGAGGTATTTCCTTGCACCTTTTATAACGAGCACGTATTTTGTGTGGGTTCTTCTGCCTGTTAATCCAGTGAAATTATATTTTTGTCATTATATTGAGTTGCCAGAGTGCATTGTCAGTAATACTTGAGTTATTAGGTTGGGATTTACAACATCAGTTGGTTGTGAGGCTGGACGTAAGAGTAGAATATGGCCTTATGTGACCTTTTAACTTGTATGAAATGAGGGTGGTGGTACTCAGCCACCTCACATGTACACGGTGTGCAGTAAATGATAACTGGCTAGAGCAGGACCATGCCCACAGATTTATCCCCTGTTATATCTCCAGTATATCTATATGTGAATAGCAAGAAGCATTTAGGCATAAAAATGCAATGCTTTAGCTGGAAAAATGAAAGCTCTATAAAAGTCTTAGTATTTTCATTCTGCAAATGAGAAATTACAGGTATGCTACTGACATTATGCCTTGCACCAGCAGTAAGTTAAAGTCTGTCTAGCTCTACCCAGAGGTTCCTGCTGTTGATTGCAGGGTTCTCCATAATCAGAACAAACTAGTAAGTTGTGCACACGTTGAACCTTTTGCTGCACGTCTCGGCCTACTAAAACATTCAATAATAATCCAGTACCCTCTGAATTTGTCTTGTCACTTAGTTGGGGATTGAAGTATTTATTTAGATGGGACAGTTTTGCCGAAAGACCATTCCTAATACACAGTTGTTCTGTTTCAAATTTAATACCTATGCTGAAATGCAGTGCATAAATGTAGAATTACAAAAAAGCACGCTGCTCTGTATACACTGCACTCAGACTTGGATTTAGCTCTTTAGAAATATTTTAGTGTAGCGCACTTTCCAGTGGAAAATCTTTTTTGATTTTAAAAATAAGAAAAGTTCTCCTCTCCCTTTTCCCTCCTGGCGATCTCAATGCGATTAAAATCCAAGCATAAATCTGGAAGTTCGATAAACATGCACTCCGCGATGCTTTAAATATTTTCGTGGTGCTTTTCACGATTTCCCAGAGCGAAACTCCTTTTACTAGGAGAATTCTTATGGGAAAGCGGAGTTGAAAGCACTGACATCACCAGCCCTTCCTGAAAAACAGATTGGTTTCCTTTAAGTAACACTCACTTAAGAAACCACCTATTTAGAGCGAGGCGGACGAAAATAGTTTCAAAGCAAACGAACGGGGCTGATAACTCGCGGGGCAGGCTCTGAGGCCGCTCCAAACTACGCGGGCAGCGCCTCCTCGGCGGGCCCGGCCTCCACCTGCGGCCCCGAGGCCTTTCCCGCTCGGTGCCCGGGGCCGGGCCGGGCCTCGCCTCCCCCCGGGCCCGCCGCCGCCCCGCGGTGCCTCAGCGCCGGGGCCCGGGCGGCTTCCCCGGCTCGGGGCCGCTCGGGGCCCGGCGGCGGCCGCTGCCCGCCAGGGGGCGACGCGAGCCCGGCGCTGCGGGGCCGGGGCCGGGGCCGGGTGGCCGCGGGCAGCTCCGCGCTCCTCAGCGCCTCGGGAGGGGTCGCAGCGCCCCGAGAGTGCTTGAAGGGGTCCCC